ATAGACTTATAAACAGACTAAGCGCATAGGCGACAAAGTGAGTATATTAAATTGCAGACTGTTTTGTCCAACCGTATTTGCTACTGACGATTCACACGAAATCACTCGTTCATATAGAAACATGATTAGTGATCACACGCAATGTTTCATTACCGGAATATTGATCAGGCTTCGAAGCGAATAAGCGATCACGGGAATTATGCCCTTTTTTGCTGGTATTATACCCTTATATTATGCCCTTTATTATGCTTCACGAATCACGAGAGCGACGCAAATTAGATAGTTGAAGTTATGATAATGTAAAGTTGTGTACGCAATTTAGTTGTTTGCGCAAGAAACATAATGAGTAATGTAAGTAACGAGATATAATGCTGAAACGCGCCCTTTTGGCAGACAGGCAAGAAAACCTTAAATGCATATGCGTGGGGTCTGTGTGTTATTGTATAAAAGAGCCGCAAGTTGTCAATGTATTCGGCATGGTAGAAAACCCGGGTAGCGGATAACCGGATAACCGGATAACCGGATAACCGGATAACCGGATAACCGGATAACCGGATAACCGGATAATCGGATAACCGGATAACCGGATAACCGGATAACCGGATAATCGGATAACCGGATAACCGGATAATCGGATAACCGGATAACTGGATAACCGGATAACCGGATAATCGGATAACCGGATAACCGGATAACCGGATAACCGAATAGTATATAGAGATTTTTTCATGGGAAATACTTACGTGTGGTATTTACGCACGCGTTATAATCTGTTTTCGCAAATTAAACGAACGAGCGAGTGCAAAATTTGTTCTTCATAGACGATACAGAGTTTATTTATATTACACAGCGAAAAATATAAAGGTTTATATGTTTCATAAAGCGAGACAACCAGATAAACAAAGTCGTGTCGTACAAAAATACATCGGAAAATACAAATTTTTCAGTATTAATGAACAGGAAAGGAAATATCAATTTATTATTATTATTTACAAATATTTTAAAACGGTAGTTCTTCAGAACACCTATGATCCGTTTTTCAAGAGGCCGTTTAAACTAATATTTACAAAGTTTAATAAAAATTACATCTAAAATATAATATAATATAAATTATCACACAGTTAAAGTCTAAGAGAATATATACAAAATATTGTGTCCCATCGTCATTTCTTTTGAATCTCATTAGGCAAATTATTCCAGCATTTTGCCCCTGAGTAGCTAATACTTTTTTTGAGGAAATTAGTCTTAGGTTTATCCAGTTGAAAATTAATTCCGTTATTTCTAAGGTCGAGGGGCATTTCACTCCAAAAAAGCGTACGGGATTTTCGGATTTTTAAAAATCCGCGGATTTTTTAGCGGATTTAGCGGATTTTTCCCGGATTTTTTAGCGGATTTTTGAAGAGAAAATTTGCTGGATTTTCCGGATTTGTTCGGATTTTCCGGATTTGTTCGGATTTTTTCTGGATTTTTGAAAATCTGTTGGATTTTCCGGATTTGTTTGGATTTTCCGGATTTGTTCGGATTTTTTCTGGATTTTTTTTAATTATAGAGTTATAGAGCTAGGTAACGTTTTGAACAAATAATCTTAAGTTGTCTAAGTTGTACGATGTCAACGTTATGCCAGGACGTCAGGGTCGAGCAGAGGACTGGGACTAGGACCACAGCCTTCTGAAACTATTAACGAAGGCTGGGCATGCAGTCATTTTGTTTAAAATTCAAACAAGTTCATTATTCTTTCAAAAGCAGTAAAAGACAATGGTGAATAACTTTTGGTTTTGCAATTATATTTTACAACATAACGTCATTGTAACAAGAACACATATTTAGTAGTAATAGGCTAAAAAAACTTAGCGTATACTCGAGCGTATAAATGGAAATGTAGAGTGGTCCAATAATTACGAAATATAATGACAGCGATCACGGTAAGCGTTTAGCTTTCGCTGTCCGCCATTTTCAACGTGGCAAAGAACCTTTACGAGTAAATTACACCAAGTACTTCATATATTTTTTGTGGATTTGCGGATTTTTTAAGGATTTTGAAGGATTTCTGTGGATTTTTGAAGGATTTCTGTGGATTTTTGAAGGATTTTTTGGATTTTGATGGATTCAACGGATTTTGAGGATTTCATGGATTTTTTCTGGATTTTTTCCGGATTTTTTGACGAAGTGTACGGGATTTTTGGAGTGAATTGCCCCTCGGTTTTTGTCAAGTCTGCAGCAAGCTTGTTATCAGACCTGCGACAGACCTGTCCACAACAAACAATTTTTGTCCTGTCACAACAAGTTTCAACAAGCCTGTTGTTGGGAAACAAATCGAAAATGTGAGTAAAGAGAAAAATCGCACGAAATGGACACGTCCGGCTTCACTTGCTCATTCAAGGCAATATTAAATCACATGCAGAGGAGATGAGGCTATGTGCACACGGTAACGTTTTCGAGCGTTTTCACGCTAAAACAGATGCAAACACTATCAATTTACAACAGAAGCTGTAGTTTATTTAATATATTGGAGATATATGTTCCTTTGGATCGTGTGAACAGGGTGTCAAAACGATTGAAGGAAAAAAAGGTTTTGAAAACGCTGGAAAACGACGCCCGTGTGAACATAACCTAAGTATCTACTCTGTCATTAAATGCAAAAGCCGCTGTTTTTAACTTTTCATATTTTTAAAAAATAATTCCGATTTCCAAAATCCAAATATATTTCAATTTGCTGACTTGTGCTATCGTTATATTTCTTTAATCTGATTGGATAAAGGCGTGTGCACACGTCATCATTCCTCGTTGCAATTGGACGAAATATTACAAACATATCAATCACGCAATCATGTTTAGTTGTTTTCGAATTTTGAGCCAAACAAAATTTCAATCAGGGTTGCCAGTTTGGCGTTAAAAGAGCCAAATTTCTCGATTTTGGCTTCTTTTAATTTCGTTTGGCTTCTTTCTATTTTTTGGCTCTTTTTGGCTTCTTTTTGAATAAATACTGAAATAAGCAACTTTTCAAAAATAGTCTGCCATCCATCAGTAAAAATTAGTTATAAACTCTGCCTCGAACTCTGCTATGTTCGATCATATTATCCGGGATTTCTTTTTCGGATGTACGTAAATATCCTATCGGAATTAGTACCCCCTCCCCGGGCTTACGCGGTTCGCCGCAAACGGCGGGAAAACGAAAATTACTCGTTTTTTCTTTACTGTTTCTATAGATTGTAGTTATACTGTTTCTCGATAACTTTTCGCTGATGATTTACCTTGATAACTTAGTTATCATAACTAAATAAAGTTTGAGTTGGAATTCTTAGTCGTTATGTAAAAATATAAATGTATTAGCGATTGTTTTTATGGGTATATAATTCGTATAATTAGGTTAGCCCCAGTCCCCACTCTAAATTTCGATTTTGGCTTCTTTTGGTCGGATTTGGCTACTTTTTACATATCATTTGGCTCTTTCGGACTCAGACCCAGTACTCTCACTTTTAAGGAATTATCCTTAAAAATAGGAATTTTGAAGAGTTTTAAGGATTTTTTTAAGGAATTTAGGTTTTTGAGGATTTTTTTAAGGAATTTCCAAAACATTTTATCCTTAGTCTAGGACCTGTATATGAGTTTGTATGCGATTCATTTAGGACAGGTAATCTCAACTGTTTTAGGGTAAAATGACCATGGCGGTCAACATGGCATATGTGCGAAAACCTGAATCCGGGACGAAAGTCCTGAAAATAACCCCGCCCTGAAACGGCAGTGTCGACATAGCTCTAACTTCCGAAAAGGAAAAGCGATAGCCTTTCTGAAGTGCTTATAGTGTTTAGAAGGGTTGCTTTTAGGGGTGGTCATTGGAAGGAAAATTTTGTCGAAGTATAATATTTTACCAGAAAATGACTATGCACCACCCAGGTAAATTGCTGATTATGCACAAAATAACTAATATGCCTGGCAGAAATTAAATATTCTTATTTCCTAAAAAAATTATCATGGGGTGAAAAACTATGCTTAATTTAATATAAATATTGTTGATTTCATAAGGATTGTCATTGTTTTCTTTAAATATAATACATTTTATTTCACTTACCCCCCCACGAAAACACGATTTCAGCCATATTTTGCCGTCTTGTTTGCTTTTTATCGCCGAATCTCGCAAATATCATCCAGTTATTGTACTTTTACATAATCATAAATGGCTGAAGAAGATTTCAAAAAAGGTTTCATCCACTTTTGTAACAGTGCAGTGTATTTTACCTTCGATATTGTGTCCTTCGATATTCCGCCAAATTGCCGCCATTTTAATGGCTCGCCGCTTCTCTGTCTGATAAATGCAACTTCTTCGTTTCCATATGTATTTAGATTACAGTATCCAAGAGTACTTCATTGTAGAATAGTCCCAATCCAAAAATTGGCAATATTTGTCCCATTAGGAAGGAAAAATCCTCCCGTATACCATTTAGGTTCAAAATAAAAAACAAATCATTTGAAAGTCACGCGCAATCTTCGGGAAAACTTCTCGTGGACCAACACAGGCGGCCCAGACGTGTATCAGTGTATAGTAAATATATCATTATAGAATATACCTCTGAGAATATACTAAACAATAAAATTTGTAATGAATTTTATATTTTAAAATCATATTTACTTGCCTACTTTGATTGTATGTGATCGTCTTTTATTTCTGAGCGACTTTACATTCGATGCCTGCGACTGTCTTCATAGGTGATAGTATTGAAAGCAAAGGCTAACGATTCCAGTTCTCAAACAGCCGACACGAACAATTCAAATCGAAAAATATCCCCTTCAAATTGCTTTGTTCCCGGTAAAACTTCGCCAGCGTATAGAATAAACACCCATCTTCGAACATACAAGGCAATATTAACACGTTCTGTAATTTTTGCAATGGATTTTTAGCGAAATGTTTCGAGACTAAAATTCTATGGAACTTAGAAAGACCGATAATTACTACGGCGCCTGCTTGGCCACCTAGCCTCCTATACCGTTTGGATTGTCAGGGGGGGATTCAAATAAAAACACCTATTTTCGGCAACAGCCAGCCAAATTTAGTGAGCCAATCAACGCCGCGATACCGACTGTTTACAATATTTGAAATCTGATATTGCAATTTGTCAACAACAAAACTCTTTCGATCGTATACAGCTCTCTTTCTATTTTATACTATACGATCGATCGATCGAAAGAGTTTTGTTGTTGACAAATTGCAATATCAGATTTCAAAGGCTATTAGTAAAACACGGAGCACGGAGCACGGAGCACACGGAGCACACGGAGCACGGAGCACACGGAGTACGGAGCACACGGAGCACGGAGCACACGAAGTACGGAGCAGTAGAAAAACGAAAATCCTTTATAATAAAATACACTGTTTACTATTACAATTTTTTGTTATTATTAACAAAGTTTTTTTCGCGTATTACACGTTTTACTGAAAAACACATATGATGCAAAACCAGGCTGCCAAAAGCCATAGTATTTAAAATGGGATTGTGAAACTCGTTATCTTACATCTATCAAGCTTATGTAGTTATATTATATTCCGATGGGCAACACATAAAGAAACACTTACTGCATGTAGAGAACAGCCGATATATTTCGTTACCCCTGCCAAAAAATAGCCAAGTATACTCATCTTTCAATGTAGCGGATCGACTGAACATTAAATCTTGTGATGAGAAAAGTGAATTTTCGGTTTATCCTTCGGCTCAGTGACCGGTGGCAGTGAGCTGTACGGCCGGCTAAGTTTAAACCGTTATACAGTACATCATTACTGCTTTCATTCTTTCAATTCGTTTTGAATATTCGGAATCATTCACAATATTATAAAACTGTATAAGATAGCTGTAGAACTATAAATGCTGTAGAATGAAATAAATAAAGAAAAGTAAGTTTTCAAATCGCGGTATTTGCCGATAAATCGGTAATCGCTACAGAAAAACAGAACAAATTACAGTATTAAAATCACAACAAACCGCGGAAGTGGGACAATTTTTGTATTTTTACTGTAAGACATGTAGAACATGTACGAAATCCATACAGAAGTGTGTGTGTATTCTATACTTTTGAAACAACTAAATCAGACTTCGGAAAATTTGACCGTATTAAAGCTGCTTTTGGGAATTTAGATTTTAGGTCTTCGTTTTACATGTACCCAGACCAGTAAATATTTTTGAGTTTTGAATTTTGTGTATAAATCAACACCAACGCCTCAAAGGCGAAAAGGAGGGCAAGATTGTTAGAATTGCTATTGTAAACATGAGCAGTTTCGAGCATAAACATAAATTGAAACGAGTAATTTTTACACATCTGATTGACTAAATTCAGGAAGCCATTTAAGTGTACGCGTATTTGTTACAATTCCGATCAACTCTGCTGTGCAGCACGGCAGAGCCAGAGGCAGAGTAAATTGTAAACAAATTGTAAGCTTGTGAGAATCAAAGTTCAAAACTCAAAAATATTTACTGGGTACATGTAAAACAAAGACCTAAAATCTAAATTCTCAAAAGTAGCTTTAATACTGTCAAATTTTCCGAAGTCTGATTTAGTTGTTTCAAAAGTATAGAATACACAAACACTTCTGTATGGATTTCGTACATGTTCTGCATGTCTTACAGTAAAAATACAAAAATTGTCCCACTTCCGCGGTTTGTTGTGATTTACTGTAATTTGTTCTGTTTTTCTGTAGCGGTTACCGATTTATCGGCAAATACCGCGATAAAACGTAGTTTTCTTTATTTATTTTATTCTACAACATTTATAGTTCTACAGCTATCTTATACAGTTTTATAATATAATAGTGAATGATTCCGAATATTCAAAACGGATTGAAAGAATGAAAGCAGTAATTATGTATAACGGTTTAAACCGGCGTAGGCCGTACAGCACATTGCTCACTGGTCACTGGGACGAAGGATAAACCGAAAATTCACTTCTCTCCATGACAAGCTTTTATAATGTTCAGTCGATCCGCTACATTGAAAGATGAGTACTTGGCTATTTTTTGGCAGGGGTAACGAAATATATCGGCTGTTCTCTAAGTGTTTCTTAATGCGTTGGCCATCGGAATATATTGATATAACTACATAACTCATAAGCTTGATAGATATGTGACGAGTTTCACAGGCACAATCCTATTTTAAATACTATGGCTTTTGGCAGTTTTGCATCATATGTGCAGTAAAAGCCCCATTTTTCTACTTCCTCGACGTGTAAAACGCGAAAAAACTTTATTAATAAGAACAAAAATTTGTAATAGTAAACAGTGTATTTTATTATAAAGGATTTTCGTTTTTCTACTGCTCCGTAGTTCGTGTGCTCCGTGCTCCGTGTGCTCCGTGTGCTCCGTGCTCCGTGTGCTCCGTACTCCGTGCTCCGTGTGCTCCGTGCTCCGTGTTTTACTAATAGCCAATTCGACACATGCAAAATGCGACGTTTGAAACAGGCCTAAGTCTAAGAGACACCGGATTGACTGCAAAGAAAAGTAAATGCCTTTTCAATGTGGACAGTTTATGGTTTTATGGCATGATTCTTAGCCAAGAGAAAGTTGTGGCAATAAAAAATACACCTGCCCCAAACAATGCCGTAAAAGAACTTCGTAGCTTTCTAGGACTTGTGAATTACTGTTCGAAGTTTATTCCTAATTTCTCTACCATTACGGCGCCACTACGGAAATTGGATCGCAAAAAGGTTCCATGGACATGGGACGCTAGTCATCAAGAGGCCTTTGATCAGGTTAAATCTTCGCTATCTGAGCAGTGTACGTTGGCCTATTATGACCCTAACAGATCAACGAGTGTTGTTGTGGATGCTAGTCCTGTAGGCCTAGGGGCTATTTTGGTTCAACATGACGAACAGGGCATTTTGAAAGTGATTGCTTTTGCTAGTAGAGCACTAACAGTAGTTGAACAGCAGTACTGTCAGACAGAACGAGAAGCGTTGGCATGTGTGTGGGCATGCGAGAAATTTCATTTATATTTAGTTGGTTGTCAGTTTACCTTGTATACAGATCATCAAGCGTTAGAAATCCTTTACTCAGCAAAGGCCAAACAATCTGCTCGAATACAGAAATGGGCATTGCGCCTCCAGCAGTATAACTACACGGTCAAGTATCGTCCAGGCACAAGGAATCCGGCAGATTTCCTTTCGCGGGCACCAATTAACGAGCCCTCGGGACTGTCTATTGCCGAAGAATATATTAACTTTATAACAGAGCAAGCCATTCCCAGAACAATTACCTTGTCAGAGGTGCAAGAAGCGACAAAGAACGATAAAGAACTGCAGTCAGTTGGACGAGCACTTCAGTTTGGCAACTGGAAAGACAAATCCATATCAGCTTATTTTGCAGTACGGCATGAAATAACATCAGTAAGGGGTGTACTGTTGAGAAGACACCGACTGATTATACCAATATCACTTCGAAATAGAACTCTAGCCCTGGCACACAGAGGAAACTTGGGAATTGTCAAGACCAAACAAAATTTGAGAACCAAGGTATGGTGGCCTAGATTAGATAAAGAAGCAGAGCAACATGTAAAGGAGTGTTTGACGTGCCAAATATCTGGTGATCCTGAACCCCCTCCACCTCTAGCAGTTGTCCCACCTCCAGTGGCACCATGGTCATGTATTCATGTTGATTTCTATGGACCAGCACCTACAGGAGAGCATCTATTGGTGATGTTAGATGAAACAACCGGATTCCCAGAAGTTGATATTATGAATAAAACCACAGCTTTTCATACAATACGAGCGTTTGAAAAAGTGTTTGCCAGACACGGACTGCCAGACACAATTAAGAGCGATAATGGGTCGCCGTTCCAGTCCAAGGAAGTTAAGGACTATCTGACAACACAAGGCATCCACCATCACCGTGTAACACCTTTATGGCCCCAGGCCAATGGAAAAGTGGAAGGCTTCATGAAACCTATGGGTAAAGCTATTCGAGCGGCTTGGGCAGAGGGTCGAGATTGGCAAAGAGAACTATTTGCATTTTTGATGAATTATCGTACTACACCCCACCTATCTACAGGTGTGGTAGCCTGCGAACAGGCTCACTGGGAGAAAGGTGAGCCTGCACGGAACCATGCGTTTTATTCAATCATCCCCTTTTCGCATCTGCTAAACGCTAACCAATCAGCGTCGACTGCGATAAATAAACTGTCAACTGTCAAATTGACGCAAGGCGTGTACATTGTGCAACATGAACAATAATACAAAGCATTAGCGGGCCGCACAATATATTAGTCGGAAAAATATAGAATTCTTCAAATATTAAATAGATATCAATACACATACAAATATAAAGCCGAATAAACTACCATTGGCTTTGAATTTACAGTAATACTTGTACTATGTGCGACTGAAAGAACAATGTTCTGAATATTTTGAAGCTATTACTAAAATACGGTCAGATAGATCGGGATTTGGAATACCGAATACGTTTAAAATTTTACTAACTGTGGTCTAAATAAATGATAAATGAGCATGTATTTATTAATTTCTTCGAAATCACGAGTGTGCCAATAGTGGAAGCCGTATCGACGACGAAATTGTCAGCAGTTAATATACAGTAAATAGTACAACGTCAACGTTTAATGTACGATATATATTTATCTAAATGACATGCCAGCGAGGATCAACAATATAATTATTCGTACATATTTGGGTATCTTTTGTATGCCTTCGCTTGCTGACTTGCTCACTAATGAGAATAATCCGTGAAGCCACGACGACCTCAAAATGTACTATACTATAGTCTGATGTCAATCCGAAGACGAAGTTCAGAATACTGTTATAGTTTCGTGTATTGGATTTAAGCGATAGATTCAAGTCATTTATGATAGACTTTTTTGCTGTGATGCTTTGCTATTGCTTTTGGTTTCCATTTCTAGTTTTATTTGTTCGATAGTCCCATAATATATAATATTAAAATGAATAAAGTTCAAATTCTTCAAAATGCTGTTGTTGACATTTGCTATTTTTAGTAATTTTGTCAACGAGTGTAAGCCAATCAGAAGCCTGCGTTTCTATACGAACGCCACTACCAAGAAAACCTATAGTTCCGTGCAGGCCTCTATTCTTCGCGCCGCCCGCAACCCAGGGCCTGTTCGCAGGCTACAGGTGTGGCGCCAGCCGAGATGCTTTACAAACGAGTAATTCGATCTACCGTTCCGTCTTTCTCTCAGGCACCTGCCAATACAGCTGCAAAAAGGGTTTTGGAAGGAAAAGCTAAGTCAAAACAATATGTAGATGCCAGAAGACGTACACGAAAGTCATCGATAAAGGAAGGAGATACAGTGTTGGTGAAACAGAAAAAGAAGAACAAGTATACAACCATGTTTCGTCCTCAACCATACAAAGTTATCAATGTGCGATATTCCAGAGTAACAGCGCAAAGGGGTGATCATGTGATTACAAGAAACGTTTCGCATTTTAAGAAATTTAGTGGAGCGTATAGAGAGTCCAAATCCTGAGTCAGAAGATGATATTACCATTGCGGCCCCACAAGCAGGACAGGACAATGATCAAGACATAATTGAAGATAGGTATCCTTTAAGAGCAAACAGAGGCGTACCGCCAGATTTTTATGGACGGTAAATAACTCTGATAGTTATTTGTATACTTAGTTGTGTTATCAATCGTAGCATGGACTACAGGTTTTAGTTCACATTACCAGATTCACTTAGAACTATTTGTTGTGAGAGAAAGAGGGAGATGTTATGTTGGTGTTACATGAAGTATAGAACGTTGCATCAGGGGAGTCGGGGGATTTTGGAAGTGAGCACATGTGTGTAGGTTTTATGTTTTAGGTACGTTGAAATAAATAACGATTTTGAAGATATAACACTGACCAGGAACGACTGCGAAAAATGCAGCACAAGGTCCTCTCGTAGGAATTCAGGAACCTACGGCCCTGTGATTCCGTTGCAGCGCTCTAACCAACTGAGCTACAGAGGCCAGCTGTTGAGCTGTAACCGTAAGTTCATGTATATATACAGGGTGTATAAAAAAAACTGAACAGATTTGAAATTGGTCTCAATTTCGCAAATCACCTATTTGTATCCGGTTTTTTATATATATAGCTTCTTTGGGTACTTATAATGTAGAATAATGAAAAAAATTTCTTGAACTCAAATTTTGTGAACCAGGGGGGTGTGTCTTTTCCAACAAATAAAAATGGCTCGCGCACAAAATTTAAAAGTTGTAATCATATTTTGAGTTAATAGATGGAACATTTGTCGGGTTTTTAATTACTGTACAAAATTTCAGACAATTTGGTTTAGTTTAAGCCCTTTAACTATTCACGCAAAGTTACATTTTTCCTAAAAATCAGCTATTTGCATGCTTAATTAATTAAGGCTACCCTGGATTCCAGAGCCTTCGACAGTAAATAATAAATTGAAATGTCGCGAAGGCTCTGGTTCAACGGGGCGATTCTTTGATTAAGCCGCGCCAATCACAAAACAGAATTAGTGGTTTTAGTACAGATTCTGTACTAAAACCACTAATTATGTTTTGTGATTGGCGCGGCTTAATCAAAGAATCGCCCCGTTGAACCAGAGCCTTCGCGACATTTCAATTTATTATTTACTGTCGAAGGCTCTGGAATCCAGGGTAAATTAAGGCGGGGGTTAACCCAAAATTTGAAAATTTTTGAAAAAAAAATTTTTAAGAGAAAAAGGTACTTCAAACATTAGATTTAGCATAGCCACATGTTGTTTGCTTTCATTTGAATTTTTTCCGTGTTTAATGTGGCTTTTAAAAAACTCGCCATTTAAAACTCGCCAATTTTGTTGTTACCTTGTTTTCTTCGTCAAAACTTAATCTCGTTCCCCGAGCCTGCGATCCTCGGGAAGGAACGCGAGGCTCTGGGATAATCCGTTTCAAGGAGGAATCTGATTGGCCGTTGAAATGGAATGCGTAGTTCAATCTTAGCCAGGATTCCTGGCTTCCGGCAACGGATTATCCCAGAGCCTCGCGTTCCTTCCCCAGGATCGCAGGCTCGGGGAACGAGATTGCGTCAAAACTGAGCCCAGTTTCCCAGGAGATGAGAGTATGCCATCATAGGAAGCTAACATAAAGTCTGTCCGTCACAAAGCATCGAACCGCTGACACAAAGGTTTGATTTAAAGTTTTCTGCGTGACAAAGTTGGAAAATTGCGGTGCCGGTGCCATTTTTGGCACCGCATTATATTCTGCCTGTGAGTTTGTTATTTTGTTAGTTTGTTAGTTTGTCCGTTTGTTTGTTTGTTTGTTTGTTTGTTAGTTTGTTCGCATCAATACGTTTCCTTAATCGCGTACCAAAAATTCCTTGCACGTGCTCGGAATTTATTAATTATTATTAATCGTGTACTCTTATGATGATCGACTGTTTGCTCAGCTTTATCTCTGGTTTTATGCATCAAACAAGGACAAAAATACCACTGTTCGAATCAGCGTGAAAAGTTGTGTTTACAGATGGAAAATTGATTTCAAAATTGACTTCTATTCTAGGTATTTGTCGCCTTTGAAAGACAAAAGCCGCTCAAAATAATCCTTCACGTTTTCCGAATTTCTTTTTTCGAGGAAAGTTTTCTTTCGAATTACAACTCGAACTCTCACGATTGACTTTTTGCCGCGTCTTATCTCTGGTTTTATGCGCCGAATAAGGACAAAAATACCACCGTTCGATTCAGTGTAAGAAATTATACTCACAGACGTCAAATGTATTACTAAACTACAGTATTCTCGCGATTTATGGCCTTTGAAAGACAAGCGAAATTGTATTGTTCACAAATCGCTCAAAATTATTAAACTAATTAAAAGTGCAATACATTTCAGACCTCTCAACCCCCCCCCCGTCGCCAAAAAAATTTCGGTCAGTGTACCATTTTAGGGGTCAAAAAAATTTTCCGGACAACCAATATTTTTCCGAACGTACACAAAATTTTCGAAAAATCACAAAATTTGCCAAAAAATTGACTTAATTTTAGACAAAATTTACAGAATTTGTCACATTTTTTTTTATTGCAACCCATAATTGCCCGACTGTTGATCGAATATTGCCCGATTGCCCCAAAAAAATTTTATGCGTTAGATTTACTAAACGTGGCGTGAGAGAGAGCGTGAGACTGAAGCGAATTGCGTGAGACTCACGCCGAATGCGTGAGAATTGAGAGGTCTGGCGTGAGAGCGTGAGACTGAAGCGAATTGCGTGAGACTCACGCCGAATGCGTGAGAGTTGAGAGGTCTGACATTTGACCTTGACATTTGACCTTGATAACTTTCGTATTGTTGGTTTTCTCTTTTTCGGCCGCATACCAGTGGATTCGTCTCACTTTTCTCTTTATTTTGTTAGTAGTTTGAGCCCAAAATATTATATTTTGAAGCTTTTAATGTGCAGTTTTAATAAGCGAAATTGTATTGTTTACAAATCGCTCAAAATTACTAAACTAATTAAAAATGCAGTCCGTTTGATCCTTGATAACTTCGGAATTGTTGGGTTTTCTCGTTTTCGGCCGTATGCCAGTGGATTCGTCTCACTTTTCTCTTCATTTTGATAGTATTTTGAGCCCAAAATATTATATTTTGAAGGCTTTAAAACGCAGTTTCGACCCTAACGTACGGACCAACTGGCGGCCGACAGGAGAATGTAGCGTGCTAAATATCAAACTAGGGTACCTGCAAAGGTAGGGATTGCTGCGGGCATTAAAAGCAAATAGAACCACAGTAAAGAGCACAAATTATATCAAGCACAGTGATTACTCGCAGCGACTAGTGAGCTGTGAATGGAACTGAAAAGAAGGACAAGAAGCAATATATATTGAAGTAGCAAAGATTGAAGTAGCAAAGACCAGGGCAATCAGAGGTGACAGATATTACAAACATGTGCGTCTCATTGACATACAGGTAAATTAAGATCAGATTTCATATCAAGTCTGTCAAGTCATATCTGCTAGGTGTATTTACCACATTATATAGACTAAATACACAGATTTATCACACTAAGAAACCAAAACTTTATAAAAAATATAGAACTGACAGTGGCCAAAGTCCAAAACAAATGTAAGCGTAACATTTAGTCTAGGACCTGTGTATGAGTTTGTATGCATTTCATTTAGGACAGATAATCTCAACTGTTTTAGGGCAAGTTGACCATGACGGTCAACATGGTAACGCTGTCCGAACCCCAATCCGGGACGAAACGTCCAAAACTGACCACACCCAAAAACGACGCTTTCGTCATACTGCTATCTACCAAACCATAAAAGCTTTGGCTATTCTGAGGTGCTTATATGGTTCAGAGATGGTACTTTTGGGGTGGTCATTGGTAAGTGTGAAATGCCTAGCACTAATATTTCACAAGAAAATGACTATGCAATAATCATAGTTAAACGTCAATTTGTGGCTTGCAACTTCAGATAAACAGCAGTGGACTAATACATTACCTTTTTCCCTAAATCTTTTTGATAGAAACATAATTGGTACTTATTTAAATATATTATCACTGGTTTGGTGTAAAATAGTTAATATTTTCTGACCGAAATAATAATTTGAATTGTGCCTACCTCCTGCAAATGGACGTATTTGGCCAAGTTCTCCACTTTACTCCGCTGTTTATCGGCGATCTCGTCGACATCCTACAAAAAATGTAAATCATCTCAGACATAATGGTATCAAGAACATTTTAAACAAGTTTCAACTTGGTTTCAAGTAGATCATACCTGTTTAACCATCGACAAGGTAAATCCACAACTTTGTCCAAATTCGGCGCCATTTTGTCATCCCATGTCGGTTGTCAACAATTCGGCCTTGTTACTCTTCCATTCACGCCATATCCATTGCACAAATAACAAATTTAACCCTTTGTTAAGGGTATTAAAATAAAAATACAAATGAAATATGCGAAATGCAGCATTTTATCACCCTGTAAGATCTTGCTCACGAGTCTTTCAAAACATTCCGTACAAATCTCGCGTGACAAAGTAACAGGGACGTGACAGGGGGGGTGAATTATTTCACGAAGATAGAAGAAGGCTGCGTGAAATAGACTAAAAGCTAAAGACCATAGGCGTACCGGGCGGGGGGGCGGGGGGGGCGGCCGCCCCCCCAGTTTTTTGGGCAGTCGGGCAATATTCGATTAACAGTCGGGCAATTTTGGGTTGTAAAAAAAAAAAATCGGACAAATTATGTAATTTTTTTCAAAAATTTAGTCAATTTTGGGGCAAATGTATTTTTTGGGAAAATTAATGTGATTCTGCGAAAAATTTGGTACGTCCGGAAAATTTTTTTGACCCCTAAAATGGTACACTGACCGAAATTTTTTTGGCGACTGGGGGGGGGAGGTCGCCAAAAAAATTTTCCGGGGAAAAATTTTTTGGTACTAGTCGGGCAAAATCACGAAAAGTCGGGCAATTTTACGAAAAGTCGGGCAATTTTCTTTCCGCCCCCCTAATTTTTTCCTTCCGGTACGCCCATGCTAAAGACAATCATACAAACGTTTGTTTTATTTCTTGTAGCGACAAATATATACATATTATTATTTATTAATATGAACAAGTCATACAAATTAAATGCTGATTGTTGGTTTAATGGTTTTACGATACTGTATGGGCTGG